TACTAGCTAGATTTTTTAAAAAATTATCAGAAACTTTACATTTAACATAAATAAAACCTCCTTTCAGTATGGTACTATGCTTTTTGCATCCTCTTGAAACAGCTCTGCACCTTTTCTCCATTTGTTAGCTAACTTCCATCAGTAGTGGGACCAAAATTTGCTCGCTCTCTCTAGAACTGCACCAATACCAGTGAATGTTCCTGGTCCCACCCAGGAAAAAAGCCACTATGCACAACACACCCCCTAGCCCAAGTTCATTCAGAATCACAGAGTTTCCAATTTTTCCCATAGCATTTTACAGGTAAAACCAAAAAACTGAAGTCATCTCCTCACTTTAAAGCCATTAGTTTAAACCTACCCTGGGACATGCTCCTATCCTCTCGGTCCAGCAGACCCGCCTCAGCGCAGCATGGGAGCAGTTTGAGCGTGCCCAGCTCGCCCTCGTTCCTGGGTACCATTCCCAGCCCCGCAATAGCGCTTCCCCGGAGCAAATGCCCCGTATTCCGAGGGCAGAGGAGAGGAACTCGCACTCACCTCTCCGCCTGTACTCCTCCGGCTCCATGCTGCTTGCTCTCGGAGCACCTCTCGGAGCCTGGGCCAGGACCGTGCCGCGAGCGGTGGGCAGCACCGTCTGGCGCCCTGCTGGATGCTCACCCTTTATAGCGCTCTTTATCTGCCAGGCTCACGCATTTGGAGAAGGTTTAACGTAGGCAGGTTATTGGTGAGCGTTTCTCTAACTCCTCCCAACCGAGAGCTTTTATAGTCTCTTGTATGTTCTCATCTGTGCTCTTTTGATGTGCGAGACAGCATCTATGAGAGGAGCCGCCTCTGCATGAGCCTTTTCCTACTTTGGATCAACCTTTCAGAAGGCTCATGGTAACCAATGTTTCATTGAATATCAGAAACAACATCGGACTTCTGCGAGAGAGAAAAACTCAGTTTCCAAAGCTAAACAAGAGCAGCCATCTTCCAGTCCACTGAAAAAAGCCTAAGCAGTAGTTAATGCAGTACAGGCATCAACAAGTAACAAATTCGATGCTGTATTTCTAAGATGATGATGACTTCATATACTTTTTAAAACAAAAAGGGTTTTAGGACTGATTTTTTCTTGCTCGAAGAGAGCTTCTGCTTCCTCACACGTATTCAATATTTAGGCACTCAGTCCCTCGCTGTCCAAGCAAAGGCACCACAACTACTGCCAATTCCAGAGCTGCAGTATAAAGTAACGATCCCCCTTGGGAAATCCTGCTCTTGCAGATCAGACCAATCTGTCCTGCAGGGTAACGTTCTCCGTTGATACCTCCCTAGACTGGCAAGCAGGGAAAATGCATCTTCCTCACACACCATGCTTGCTATTCTCACATGCGAGGGGCAAAAGCTCTCCAGACCGGCCTCGTATCTCCAGAGCTCCTCCACCTGGGCTGATCTCAGTTGAAGAACAGGCATGTAGAGCCCCTGCACCGGTTTCAGAAGCAGGAATCACAACCTGACCTGTTTCAGGTAGAGCGGCCTCTGACACTATTTCAAGGTCGAGAGCTAATCCTCTTCAGCAGGAGGAAGCTTCTCTACACTGACACTGGCCAGTCCTGGGAAAAGAGAGAATTAAGACTTACTTAAAAATCTTGTCTAAGTATCCTAAGTGCTGTGAAGAGAAATGATTACACAGCGTGCTTCACCTAACCTTACTTCTGTCTATGACCCCCTGTTGGAGACAGGGTTTGGGCCAAAGGGATCTTTACTCTGATCCACTGCAGCAGGTTCTATCCCTGTGACACAGAAGGGAACAGCTCCTCTTTCCCACCCGATGCACAACACAGCCTGAACTCTTTTGCTATTCTGGAAAGTTGTTACTTCTTTCTCCACAGCGAACTTTACACAGAACAGTGTAAAAAAACCTTTTCTATTTCTGCTGTGATTAGATACTTGAGAAAGAACAACCGTTTCTGAGATACAACAACGATGCTCTGATACACGCACATCAGATTAATATACTGAAGTAGAAACGCTGATTAAAAAAAAAGGGCATTCAAAGCAGAAGTACAAAAAGGGCACAGAAAAAAATACCATAAACTTATCCATTTATCTCATGTTTCTCAGGAAACATATTGAACAAATTAACAAAGTTGGCAGTGTATCAGCTTAAGGAACCTCCGTTGGCTTTGCCATTACCACAAAGCGGGGCAAGGGAGGTGAGAAAGGGCTGGCAACAAGCACAGGAGCAGCTCAGAAACACGGGCAAAACCTGAGATTCCTGCTTGTGACAAGTAAATGATATGACTTTAAATAAGGAAGCACGTTAAAAAAAAAAAAGTAGCTTATTACATCTATGATAGCAATTTGGAACAGCAAATAAGCAGCAATACTTTGTTAGAATGTTTTCTGATCTAAACTACACATAGTAAATATTTCATGTGACATATATCCTACGTCTTTTGCTCAAAACTGATAGTTGGAGCAGTTTGGCTTTTCATTCTGTGTAGAAAAGAACAAACAGTAGGTCCTGTTCGGAACTAGGATAAGATAGGCGATAATGAATTACGGGTTCGGTAAATATTGCTGGAGATAGAGCAATTTTTGTTATAGCTACCTTGCACTTGGAAAGATTTTGTTACAGCCAATGAGGAACAGAATATTTGCTCACAGGAAGCAAAATGAATAGAAAAGGTTTTCTCATTGTTTCCTACAAAGGTCTGTGCTGTGAAAGCCGTGGGAAATTCTCCACTTGGACACGACCGTTATCACTATCACTTCTCAGGCCAACGTCAAAATTCTTATCAACAACAAGAGCTCACAGAGATTAAGGCATAGTTAATTTTATGAGATGTGATGACAGAAATATTATTTTGAAGACTAACTCATCTGGAGCAATGCCTAAATAGCACATTTCACTTGACTAATTCATTCCTAGTATCAAAATGACGACTTTATGAGAAAAAAAAAGGAAAATACAACTCCATTTCCATTTAGTCACTGCACAAGGTTACTTTAGTTCCTACTACCATTTGTGTATGACTATATCCTTGAAAATAATTCTTCTAAAACCAGCAAAGACTTCAACTTTTACCATGTCTTGATTTTTGGATCAGATCTACCAACTTTCAACTGATACTAGAATTCTTTTTTACCTCTAAGTTCCAATTCAACAAAGTCAAAGTATGAAGCATAAAGATTTTAATCTGCGTTAATGCAATTTCTTCCCCACTCTTCCCTCCTACCTTTGAAGGAAATTCTGAACCTAAACCAGATTTTTCATATTTTTCTTAACATTTATCATGACACTGTTTTAACCTTCTAGGACACAAATATAAAACACATACCAAAAAAAAAAAAAAAAAAAAGGAATTGATTCTACACTATATGTGGAAAAGATATTTAATTGTAAAATAGAAAAAGTAGGCCAGAGTACAGTTTTAAGGGTAATTCTTTTGTATACAGTATAGGTAAACTAGACTTTTTGCTTAAGTTTATATAAACAATTTCATAAAAGCAGTGAAACATGGAACAACAAAGCAATGCACAAAGTTTTACCTTACAAAAATGAAATCTGCACAGTAGTTCAAAATTCAATGTAACACAGCACTGAGCAATCTTAAGGCAGCTTAGTCTAAGCACAGGACTAGAAGCCAGAAACTCCTGAGATCCATTCCCAGGCCCACCACAGATCCACGTGGTCTTGGGTCAATCATTTAACTCACTCTGTGTTGCACTTACACCAGTTATCGAGCTGAGACAACGCTCACTTACCTGCCTCAGGCAGCACAGTATGGTTTGTTCTTTAAAAGATTTATACAATGCTTTGAAGATGTAACGGGCTATATAAATCCTAAGCATAACAGATCACTGCACAGACGCACACAAACACAGTATCACAGTGAAGAACGATGATGCTAGGTCAGAAAAGCATCAACACAACATAAAAAATCACTTATTCAATTGCATAATTTCAATGCAAAAGTCTGTTTAGAAAAATGTATCACTGAAATAATTTCAAGACTACTGGGGAAAGCAAATCAATAGGAATATTCTAAAAGAACTGTTGTTTCTGTTCCAGTGGAGACATTCTTTTATATTCATTACTGAACTTCAAAATATTTATACATGAAAACTGTAGGACACACAAAGTTTGTGAAGTTTCAATGCCTCCAATGCCAAATTTTCAACTGTCTATATTATGTAAATTAAGATTTTTTAATATTTTATTACAAATTACATTCCTCCAAGAAATATGTCATTCACAATAAAACTGGCTGCTTGCTTACTTCAAATGACCTATGGGCTAAGCATTTTTCTCATAAATTTTTTTCATCTTTGCTGAAAAATACATATGCAAGATGTTGTGTAGAAATTATAAAAACATGCAGCATATGTACAAACTGAAAAGTTTAAAAAATATTAGCTTCATATACATGTAAATCTACTTGGATATATCTGAAATTAAATATAAAAATTTCACCGCCTAAAAAACAAAACAAAACAAAAAATGTTTTTCAGAGAATCTGAGACAACTACTTAAAGCTTTACAAAGATTTCCACCTGGAAATGTCTTATTCAGAGAAGTTTAAGTTGCTACCTTGTAGAAGTAACTGTTAATTCATTTTGTCCCATAATTCATTTTCAAGTTGTCAGCTTAAATCAGCAACATCACCCTTAAAACTGTTCTGTTTTTCAGAAATTAGATTCATACTAAAATCAAAAATTTCACAAAAACATTGGCTTCTTGTGTTTCTGGATCCCTTCAAAAAGATTTATCAACTCATTTTGAAACTGTAAAAAAAACAACTATTTACAGTATTTCATTTTAAATACTCTTCACAATTTCTAAATTCAGAGTTTTTATGTTACAAGAATTTCATCAGAGCTCATGGCTTAAGTCCAGTTATCAACTTGTAGCATCTTCTCTATCATGTAATCCTGTGTCTGTACCTACATAGTGTACAGTTCAAGATTGTACTGCAGGTTTTTGACTTAAAGTAACAGGCTTTGCAGTATATTTTTGTTTATTTTTTATTAAACAGCTTCTTTATTAGTCTGGAGGCGGTTCATTGCCTCTAACTTCTGCCGATAAGCCTCTGCTTCTTGCTCTTTCTTTAGAAGTTGCTGACGATATTTTTGTGCTTCTCTGTTTGCCTCATCCAGCTGCTTCTGAAGAGTTTCTCTTTCCTATTAGAAACAGAACCAGCAATATTTTGTCAAATATGTATCAAATGCAACCTAAAATGGCAAATAGTTTTTCTGTACATACAACTCAACTGTTTGGACATCATGTAGGATGTGTTCAGTTCTTACCTGGGCAAACCTAAACAAATGCCACTGTGTAAATTAGACACGAATTATCATATCACATATCTCCCCTGTGTTTACAAGCACAGCAAACCTGATTTTCTTTAGCTGCAAAAATACCAAGCAAATCTTCATGAAAAAAATGGTAAAATACAAAAGTAGAAGCATGGTGGTCAAATACTAACATAAATCAACAGTTCTCCAATGATTCCAATGCCTTCAATACAAAGTTTTAATCAATTTGCAGTAGGATTGGCATCCAACAGGACTGCCCTGTATTTCCAATCAGATAATATTACCAAAAACTTATACCTTATATTGGTTTGCACTGGGAAGTAGCACTAGCTCACACTAACTGAGCTTGTGTATATATCGATATATATATGATTTCTAAATGAGATGATCTGAAGGATATCATGCAATCCAGAGACAAAATTATTTCCCCAAGAACATGACATTTTTAAGAATTAATTAAGCATTTGGTTAAGTAAATCTCTTCAACTTAAAGAAAGTAACTTAAGGCTGCATCATGTATACGAGTTGGTTGAGGATGGCTGTAAAAAGGTTTACAAGTAAAATAATATGGGATATGCTATTTCCTATGCAGCTGCCCGAGGAAATGAGGAGAATGCATTTTTATCTCCAGTGACATGCATACTGTCATCTTGTTTGATGCTGTGCTGAGCCTAATTGAAAAAACAATTTGCTTAAAATAGTTTTTCTTTTGATCTTCAACCAAATAACTTTTCATTAAAGTGCATCACACTTTCATGAATAAAATAGTATATGATTTCAAATCCTTTTTTTCTACTGTAGTTATAAGTAGCCAGAGGAGGGAGGCTGTCAAAGCAGCAAGCTCTCTCCCAGACAAAAACAACTCTATCAAAACTGAACCGCAGTGAGAACACACATTTTCACCTTATTTCCCATCCCAGCAGTTCAATATGCAATTTCCGTTCACTTCTCAAATAGCTGCAGAAGTTCCCCCTTCCGAACAGCATCCCTATTCTTCGTGTCTGATGCACTCACTTATTTTCACGATCAGAGCCTGAAAACACAAAACGCTGCCTCCCTTCTACTTGCTCCTGTTCTCAGTACTTGTCACAGCCCCATTTAGCAGCCACGTGCTGTGCTGCGTGTGTTGGAATTCAGTGATCAGATTATTGCTAACAGCAGTGTCTGTACAGCAAAAACAACAGGTGAAGGAGAGATGGAATTAACAGGTTTACAGGGACTAGCACTGAAAACACAGGATTGAGTGTGTAGAAATGGAACCTGATTTTACACATGGCTTTAATTTTTAACAGCTGAATAAAGGGAATATTAATTATTTCACTTGCAGTATATGCTAATAAAGAGAATTCATCTGATCTGACTGGCTCATATGAAAGAGCAGTTCAGCTCCCAGCTCTGAGTATCTGGATTCCGCTTTATAAATGATTCAACCCTGCAGCAGCTAAAGTGGCCAGTGCCACATGTTGTGGTAAGATGAACAATAGAGCCTGCATTTCACCAAGGACCTAAAACACACCAGGAACGATACTGCAGTACTGGTACGGTGGATTTCTAAGACTGTGGTTCAGTAGCACCCAATTTTCCTCAGTTAATTAAAGGAAGAAGAAAGTTTCTGCAACTGTTGCTCTTGCACTCTTACCCTGGTGTCTGAAAAAACAAGTGTTTTTCTATGAGAATGCCTGGCAGAGAGAGCTCTTATCCCCTTCTTCCAGAACCCAACCCTACAGGAACGGGCTGCAGAGGTTAGTGACTCTAAGTCACCCCAAAACAGAGAGTTATTTCTCTAAATTACTTGGGTAGCTTAAGGCAGCCTACAAACATGTTAGGTAAAATAAGTCTAGTGTAAAATTGAGGAAAAAAAGACAATTCCCAAGAAACAGTCAAGAGAGTTGATTCTGCTACATGTGGAAAGCAAGCCTTCCACCCGGGGACACGGAGCACCAGCTCTGCTCAGCTGGGCATCACCCATCACCCTAACCTGTCACAAAGCCAACGCAGGGGTGCAGCGCTGGCGAGCGAAGCCGCGCGGCCTGCGGGGCCGCAGGAGGTGCAGGGGCAGCGGCAGCTCCCCGGTGGCCGGCGGGGTGACGTTACACGTGGCAGGCGCTGGCAGCACGCGCAGGGCGCACGTGCTATGGGGCCCGGGCCGGGAGGCACTCGGAGCAAAGCTGAGAGCTGCCCACAAATGGGGAACTAGAGCCGTGCTCCTGCCATGCCGTACACTACGAAGGGAAAGAAAGAAGGAAAGAAACAGCTCACCAGCAGAGACCTGAGGACAGCGCTAGTATTTACCAGGCAGACTAGCAACTGAGAGCAAGCAGATTATTACAAGAACTAGTATTTGTAGGTTGGAGAAAGGCATGGTCCTAATGTAAGCAGAATGAGTTAAGTAACTGAGGCCAAACACACCGACTAGGCAATGGAAAGAAAACAATTCTGCTGGAGAGGCAATGCAGACCCACCGTAGAGCAAAAGTAGTTCTCTACTTCTGACATCTAAAATAAGGAGGACTACATCTGGGCTATTCATTTCTGCAGCTCTAGAAAACGTCCTCAGGGCAGTCCTCAGACCACAACTGAAAGCACTCTAGCTATACAAACTCATTTTGCACCCATCGAGATAAATCCTTACCCACTTACAAAAGAAGCTGGAGGATTCTGAGTGCTCCTAAGAGAATTTTCTTCCACTACTTTTTCTTCCCTTTTTTTTTTTTTTTTTTTTTTTTTAAAGCAGTCTATATATTGAAGACAGACACACCTACAACTGAATTACCCCAAACTAAGCATTATTTTAACATTAAAAGAGCAGGGATGTGAATTCACTAAGATAATCAATGATTATGATTTTTTTTGTGAAGTCTCATGAAATGATTGTCCCGGTGACATCTAATGCACCCAAAATGCGACATGAGAAGTACACAGTCAAATTCAAGACTGAAAATAAAAAAGGTTGTATGTTAATGAACTATGCATGAAAATGAATAAAAATATTTAACAGTCAATTTTTTTTTGCTGCCATAGTATGTTTAATTAAATGTCAGACACTTAATAAAACTGCTATTGCTCTTTAATGTGAACAGAAGTGTTTGATTATAATGAGCCCAAAACAAAAAAATGCTACAGTTTTAATCCTTCAGTCCTTTCATAGGAAAGTTTGTCACCTCATGCAAGTGGGAGCTCAACTTTATAAACACACGTTCAAAGTACTGTTAACTGTTTAGATGTACACTGTGAATTAAAAATGAGCGAAGAAAGCCTCAAATCAACTCTATAATGGCTCAAAACCCCTTGATCTTCAGCAAGACAAGTAAGAGCTTCCCACACTCAAAAAACATTTTGGTAGGGAAGGGGTCCTATTCCCTCCAATTCAAGTATCTTCTACCCTGTACTATGATTAAGTTTAGATGAAACCATGTGCACTTGTTTAATTCCCCAGCTAAGAGAGGCAGCACCTGCGACCCACGGTGACAGATGAAGGCCGAATCCCTGAAAGGCTCCGACAGAGGCAGGGTCTCTGTGTACATTTTCAGTTGAACACTCAGGGACTAAGTCTTCAAAACTTGCACTTCAAAGAAATAAATTACATCCTTCATTTTAATCAATTATTTTTCAGTATTTGAGAAATGTGTTTAAAATATGTAAGTGAAGCTGGCAGTTGGTTGTACGTTATATTAACTATCTACATCTAGAAAGAGGTCAATTTATTCCTTAAACCAATCTGAATTTTGTTCCTTTGCAACAGAATTATTAAAATACTTAAGGAAACATAATTTCCCTTAAGAATAATTCAGGCAGATGTTTAAAAGTGTGAACAAAAGATTTGTTTTTATTGTAACAGTCATACACTTAAAAAATGCAGCAAGAAAATTTCAACTGTCATGATAATCTATAATTACCACAAGGCTGCAAAGGCCAAAGGTATTTGATGTGACAACTTAAGGACAGGGAAAGTCAACGATGAAAGGTGATAATTGTTATTAGACATGAATAAAGTATATCACAAACTGTACAATAAATAGCATTCAATTAGGCATAAAAAGTTACTTGGTAATACGAACAGAAGTTGGAGAATACAACCTTTGATAAATGAAACACCATGCAGTTAACAGAATGAGAACTGGCTACTCAAGGCAAACAGCAACTTTCACAGACTTCCAACCATAACTAGTGAGCACAATTAGAAGTGACACAAGAGGAAATGAGATGGTGGACCTTCGTGGATTATAAAAAAAATAAAAAATAAAAAAAGGGCGCTACAACCTTAATTTGAACAGCTAGGTCTATTTGTCATATATAAAAAGACAACTTCTCTCAGTATTGGTAGGTCCGTTGCACTATTAAAAACAGGAGGGTGCAAAGCGATGTGTAGTAGCTCCTGCTTTAGTGTTAAAAAAGGATGAAGACACAAATTGATAAAGACAAAATCTTGCTGTTTCACATGTCCATTAACAGTTATCTAGATATCATGAATGGAAAGGAAACATTGCTGAAAATATGATCTCACAATCAGGACAAGCATGTGGTCATAAACAGACAGATGAGGGGACAGTATTCTCATTCACTGCTGGCGGAAAGAGTCAAGTTAGGCGATAATATACGTTACCACTTTTTTAATAATAATAAAAAAAGCATTACAAAAAAACCCACATGCTAGTGATCTCAAAGAAAAGAAGAAGAAAAACAAAAAAAAGAGAGTACCAAATACTTAAGCAATTGTCACTTATGTGCCCAACCAGAGAAACAAAAAAAAAAGAGTACCAAATACTTAAACAATTGTCACTTATGTGCCCAACCAGAGGATGAAAATTTAAAAAAGACTCTCCTATCTTTTTTTTTTTTTTTGTAACACCTTTGTAAAAATTCAATTCCAGAAATAGCAAGCATGGAACAAATTATTGTATCAAACTCTTAATTCTGTGGCAACACAGAAGCTTAGCTCTAAAATAACACCAAAAAACCCACAACCAAATATTCAGTTCTGAATAGTCTGGTTAACACACATCATGTAATAGACTCCTTACTTCTATTTCTGCAGACTCCACACGATTTTCAACAATCTCAATGCACTGTCTCTTGACGGGTGGTTCTTCACTTATCACAGTTTCTTCAGCAATGTCTGTTGCTGGAACTGTTAATACTGAAAATATATTTGCAAATATAAATATTCATACTTTAAACAGCAACTACATCATGTAAAATTCACACAATTAATTTCATTAACAGCAGTAAAATACAAAGACTTTCCCTTATGAAAATGCAGCTCTATAAAAGCACATTCTAAAACTCATGCAAGAAAAATTTACTGAATGCTCTGGCTATCCATATGCTACTGAAGAATTTCAAAATCTTTGTTACTGAAGTCTATGATAGTTAGCCTCTAGTGCATCACCAACATTTTTCCACAGTGTAAACAGAAGCACAGAAGTGATCTGCAGCAGAGTTACCAAACTCTCAATTCTGTGAGTTAAGCACAAGACTTTGTTTTCTAGTATTTGCTTAAGAAACGTTCTAAATATGAAACTGACTTATTTCTATTAACTAGAACATTTAGGCAATCTGAAAAAACAGCAGTTATTAACTCGGTGGGGAGAAGGGGGCTGGAACAGGGAATCACAGCAATTCATACTCCACTTTACTCAAGAAGCCATCTGGTGCATAATATATCTTCCAACAAACACTCCAGCTACTACCAATGCATGTTCACACTTCCTGACAATTAGTTGTGTTTGTTCAGCCAAAAGCAGAACAAACTGCTCAACTCTTCACGCTCCACAATGGGAATCCTGGTGAAGAAACCATGGAGAACCCGTGCCCGCCTAAATAGGATTTGCAGAGCATCTTGGAAAGAAATCACTCCAAAAAACACATATATCCACATGACATGACACTTATTACAGTAGCAGCTTCCATTAACTGAGCATTTATGATCCAACAGGGATATTAATGTCACACTGGCTCCTTTGCATCTGACACTGCTCCTCCTGGAATGGCTTTTCCCAGAACAAAGCCTGGGAACTTGCAGTGAGTGAAATGCATAAGATTCCCAAATCCAAACTCACTTTTCCACAACACTTCCAGTAAGCAATCATGTAAGAATTGATGAAGGCTTTTAATGTTTTATTCTGTTTTATAGTTTTCATACCAAGTTCAAAAGAGTCAAACTTATCAAAGGCAAAGGTGGTGATCATTTTCCATTCAATGCCCTATTTCTCGTTTATATGAGAGTTCAGCAATTCTGTTCTCTCTCCTAGTGCAGAGATTCAGCTGACATGTGCTACCTGAACAGAAGCAATTCTCACAGGTTCAAACCTTTCACAATACACAAACAAACAAAAGTATCAATAATTACACCAACTTTTCCAGGTTATTTAACACTCAAAGAAAAAAAAAAAAAAAAAAAAAGAATTCCACAAGCTCACACTGCAGAAATTCCCACTCACCTTGCTGTCCATCCGGCATGGTCACAATGATTGGCTGCCCTATCCCGCTGGTTGGGATTGAATGGAGGTTGCCAAGCTGGATGCCATCCGTGACTATGGTGATCACTTGCTGACCTCCAGAACTGACCACTTGCTGAATAGCACCATCCACCGACTCTGCTGTCACCACTTCTTCAGTTGCCACAACTATTAACAAATGAGTAAAGGAATTAAGTCAACATACAAATGATTTTATGATAGCACAGGAAATAATTTCTTCAATCACTTTTCAAATTTGATTTTTTTCCCCCTGAAATTAATGCATTACTTTACACAATACTGTTAATCTTTCACCAGGCCTATAAAGTATTAAAAATTTTGAAATATACATGCAATTCTGCCCTGGTTTATCTTGCTTGTTATAATCAATCTTTATTTAGCGTCTTTCCCAGTACATCTAGCCACTCAAAAGTGAAGTGTTGGGTTCATTGTTAACAAGGCAGCAAGAATAAGATTTGCTTTAAGAATTGGATTTACTTTTGCATTGCACACAAACCTCACTAAGTTCACACTGACAGGTGAATAAAAATGAAACTGAAAACACTGGCTTGAGAAACATAGCTCCTCTTTAATTAATGGTCTCATATCCACCATTTGCATGACCTGAGAAGTTACACATACCAGGGATTTGCTGAATAAAGGGTTTACATTATCTTAGCATGTCCAACAATATGGAAAAAGCTCAGTTATAATGAAGGTATCAGGAGGGAACAAAAGACCTTCAGAGACAGAAATTCAAACACCACCAATAAAGCCTCTGCCAGGTGTCCCTGAAGACCTAGCCCCATTTCTGCGTTCACAGCAATAGGCAATAACAGATTGAAGGGCCTCTGGAGAATATTAAAGCTTTGATTGTATCTTACGGGTACCTCAAACAAACCTCCCCTCTTCCCCCCCCAACTTTAACCATTAGTAATAGAAAGTATGAAAGTATGAAACAAGACAACAAGACTAAAGGAAGAGTTCTGAAAAGCTTTTTTTTTTTTTTTTGGTACAGAGCATAAAAGGAGAAAAATAAGACTTAAAACCAGTAAAATAAAATACTGTAATATTGTATGTGCCTACCTTTATAGATAGAAATAAAAATAAAAGCTAAGTATTTCAAATTCATGATTCTGTAACAAATACTCAGAGCAGCAAACTTTCACAGTTGTGCTACATTATGTCTACGGATCAAGCTAAGGGAAAGACTACATTCAGAACTACATGACATGGCTTACATGATAACTGGGATCTCTCATTACCACTTAAAAAAAAAAAAAAAAAAAAAAAACCACCACACTAAGACAAAGAACAAGATCACCAGCAGCACAATGAAAGAATCTCAAGTACTAACTCCGTTTTATTTTCAATTTGTCAGGGCAAAAGCAATTTGTCAGGGCCTTTCATTTAAATAACAGACATCACAGGGCTTTCTATTTACAGAGATGACAATAAAAAATGCAACAGACTGTTGTGATGTTTGAGATGAAAGCTACAGAGTTGTTTCTACCTGCTCTCATCTTTTCAGCTAATAACCACATCCCCCCCACTCTGTCGCTCAAATGACTGCACTCACTGCCTTCTGAAGGTCTTTATGTTCAGAGATGACTGTCCTATAGCACTTCTTAAATAAGCATAAAGTGCTTATTCAGTAAACCAAACACTAATTCATACATGAATAAGAGATATTGCATTGAATTTGAAATGGAAGTTATTCTGTGTCAGACAAAGTACCTCATGAATATAGTCCTTACTCTTTTCTTGCTCTCTGTCTGAACATCTATATTCACAAATCGCCACGTTCTCACATGTGGAGCTGAACTTAATTAAAACAGGTGGTGACCACACTCCAAATACACGTTTGTAATGAACTGCTTCTCTAAACTCTCAGATCCCATGCAAAGTCTTCTCCAGTTTGAGCTCTCCTGCAGTTAGGTCTTTCAGTTTAATTCAAATATCTTAAATGATTGAAAATTGCATCAGCTTCTTCATAATGAAAGGCACCACGTTTGGGGTTTTAATCATCCCCTTCACTTGCAGTATTTAAGGTTTATAAGAGAGTATACAGCTCAGCATACAGAGAGTATACAGTATTCAGCTGGTGTTTTAAAAATGAAATATCTGGATTGAGCAAAAACCCTGCAGAAGGACTGGAAAATGCTTGGAGATGAAAAGTCATATATACCTGTTGCTGAGGTGCAGCCCTTATGCCTGATAGAAGAGATGTCTGCTATATTTTCAAAGAAAATAAGCCTTAGGAATGCTGCAAACTGCAGAGCTGAATTCTGAGATCTTTCTAAGTACCCAAGATTCTGGTCACATGAAACTCATACTAACCACCACCAACAAAAACCTGAACAAAAACACACATTTCTTCAGACAGAGGCATTAAAAAAAACATAGCACTCAAAGCAGTATTCATAATAGTTAAAAAAAAAAAAAAGTATTCAAAAGGAAAGATCTTCCAGCCATATGCAACTAGGCTTTAAATGTTTTAGGATATTTTCAGAAAGATGAATGTTCACTCACATTAGACCTGTAACACCAGTTTAGCTAGAAGTCTTACTAAGAAATAACCATACAGATCAATCTGCCTACGTCTCAGGCAAAAGGACAAGAACAATCTGGTTTTGTTGATATTGAAAAAGGATTGAAATTTTATTTTTGCAAAAATAGTTTCTCAAAAAAAAAAACACCCACACTTCAGTGTACTTTCATTAGATGAGATTAAATTACTTAGACCTCTTACCTGGTGTTTCTGAAGAATTAGACAATGGGGCTGATGCTTCTGCTAAAGCCGCTAACGTGGCCAATACTGACGTTGATGAATTTCCAAACTGTACAGCAGACACACCTGTCTCATCTATCAGGAGAGAAAAAGTTAGCTGGTAAGTTTAACAATTCATATGACATCTTTCTACATTATTACTGTACTGAAACTTAACACACTAGAATAACATTCTCAATAACACTGTTAAATCAAAGCTCTATTCTGAAGGCAAATTTGCTAAACAAATACAACTTTCAACAACGTATCTCCAGAAACAGGTTTTTTTTCCCTTTAATTCTGAGATATTTGTAACACATAAGAAACACCAAAGAATAAGGTAACTACTCTTACCATTATTTTCCTCAAGTCTTTTCATTATTTAGTGAAAGTCAATTCAAGTGCAAAATCCCAGTATCTGTCCTATATACCTTTAAATACCTGTTTCATTTGATATATTTGCAGAAGATACCAGACCTGTTAAGTTCACCACCCCTCCAGGTCCAATGATAAACTGTGGTGTTGCCGCATGTATTGTCACAGTGTCTGGACTCTCTGGATTTGTATTGATTTGGTTCTGCATGGCAATCTAGAAGACAAAGGTAAAAATACCATTCCAATTGTAGATAAAATAATTCCAGTCATAGATAAAGAAGTTATTCAGAAGATCTAGAGCTAGCACATTCCACTCAGAGGAGCTCTTCTCCCTAGTTATACTCATGCAGCATACACTGTATCACACTTTGTGCTTTGCATAAGTGCATAAGAAACATCTTTTGGGCAAAACCTAGAGAGATCAAAAGTGCTGTTGGAGCAAAAGAGAAAATAAAAACCAGACTGCTACACCTCCTCATTTGCTGTAAACAAAGAGGACCATCTAATCACATACACTTTTTAATAAATGTGTAAGCTCAAGAATCTAAACTAAAGGCCTGAATAACCAAGACAGCTATAATAGGTGTATGCCATGAAAACTAGCTCTAAACAAATTGTACATGATTTCAGTATCTTTTTTCCTTCTTTCCATATTATCCACGTTTATTTACTACACCATTTTTTGCAATGAAGTATATAGGGAGAGTAAAGTTTTATACTCTGCCTGCAAAGATTCCAGATGGTTCTGTGTTCTACAATGCTTGAGTTTAAAAGTTAAAGGATATTCATCCCCCACATTTTCAGGTATTGAAAATACTCTTCAGTCACTTTCCTATGTAATTTCCATGACACAAACCATAGCAGAGCCTAGCATAGTAGTTAATACATGGTCTCAGTTGCTATATTAAAAGTTTGCATAAACAAGCACCCTCTTTTAAGTTTCCTTAGCATCACGAATCAAAATTACCTGTAATATTTCTGCAAGATCTTCATTTCCATTGTCTATTGCAATATCTAATGCAGTTTTGCAAAATTTACTCTGAGCATGGACATCTGCTCCATACTTGATTAAGAGTTCTACCACTTCTTGGTGATTATGTTCAGTAGCCCAGTGAAGTGCAGTCATCTTGAGCATGTCCTTTGCATTGACATCAGCACCATGCTGCAAACAAGATCAGTGCATAAACTATGTCATTATAAAGATCTGAAATGAATAATGCTGCTCATGGAATGAGGTCTAAAACTGTCTCTTTTTTCCAGTATTGATATCCTATTATCTTACATCTGCTGATTTGTTAAAAGTGCTTCAGTGTAGAGTACTACATAAATTACCACAAAAGAAAGCCTGAAGAATCCCTACCCAAAACATGCCTTGGTTCTAAAACCTGTTACTCATACAGTGCCAAAATTGGGACAAGTCCTATGCTGAATTAGCAGTAATTCACCTGAAATCATGATGATTTTAATTAATACTAAAATAAATCATTAACTGACACGGAAAAGAAAGCACCCAATATAAACACGGTGTATATATTCTGTAAATAAAAGACTAAAATAATTTTGTACTTATTCAATAAAGAATCATCACGATATCCCAGCTTCAGACTTTGTTAAAGTAAAGAATTTTTACCTTAAGCAAGACTTCCACTATGTTGGCATGGCCTTCTGACGCTGCCATATGTAATGGAGTTCTGTCCACTTTGGTTCTGGCATCTCGACTTACACCTGCTCGCAGCAACACTTCTGTTGTCGAGTAGTGCCCATACTGTGCTGCTAGATGAAGTGGAGATGTTCCTAGCTGGAATGTAGGGTAAAGAGGGCACGTGAAACACTACTATAGTGTAATTTTCTTTATATTGTTATGCAGCTACCAAACTCGAGTGCCAGGCTACCACCTTAAAATCATTTTCCTTTGCAGTGTCGAGGAAAGAAGCTGACAGAGCTTCTACAGAGTATGGAGGAAAAAAAATTTAAAGTTTAAACACTAATAGCAGTTGTCTGGCAGTAGCAGCTTGTATCTTCAAGATGTGATATGTTTCAAGGTGAACAACCTCCTTTTTAGCAATGGACCACACCAAAGTTGAAATGGACCTCTGGAAATCATCTAGTCCAACCTCCTGCACAGAGCAGAGCGAACTTGAAAATCAGCTCACTAAGCAGATTAAGGCCCTTCAGGAGTTGTAAACACCCTAAAATCGTAGGTGCCAATCGTAGCTATATCAGGGACAGCTCAATTACACATATTAGGTAGTTGAGATTGCTCTCAAATTTCAGACCTCTTACTAAAGACAATACATGAATAGAGTAAGTAGGATGATTGCTGCTTTTTCCTATTAACCATTCCAGTGTTCACCTTAATAACCATCAGAAGGAACTCATTCCTAGATTGTTACTAAAACTAGTAAGAGGCCAGATGATATGAAGAAGCAGACTTCATTTGAAATCAGGTATTAGATGATGTGATAGCCGAATTCCAAAAAGGAACTATCAAGGCTCGTAACATACATGCGTAATTGTAATAATCCACTTCACTTTTTCGAGGTGAAAAAAAACAACAGAATTTTCCAAATATCACAAAAGTTTTCCTTACCCAGTCTGTGGTAAAAGGTGCTCCATTTGCCATCAAAATGCGAACTTCGTCATCTTGACCCGCTCGGGCAGCTTCTAAAAGTTTCTTTCCCAAATCTACTAGTGACATCTAGTTGAAGAAATAAAAACACATAGAGGGAAAAATAGTTAATATGTTACTAATACTGTTTTTAAGTACACAAATGCCACTGTCATTTTTAAGGACTTTCATATTTCGAGAAGTTAGAAAAAATTAAGTTGGTATTTTATCTATAACAACTTGATTTCAGAATTACCTTTCAGTCTGACAAAACTAACATTGAGATGAATATTTCAATGTTATAATGCTGTAACTACAGCAACCACAAAGTTAAACCACACTAGAGTTAACCTGAACTGGATGCACATTTCTCAAAAGGGAAGGGGTCTGGAAGCTCTCACCTGACACTGCAACCTCCTGCAGGTTTGTCCAGCTTTCAGATGACACTAAGTCTCGGTTGTCACATTCCCTGTCACATGCCCAAAGGCACTACATTCATTTATCCAAAATGAATTCAAGATGTATCACGATGTAAACACATTTAGATGGTTACAAAACACGGTACCTTTTTGCCATCTCTCTCTCATTTCCTTCTGCCTATCCTAAAATATCGTTTCTGTATTCTAGCTACAAAATTAAGCCATATAGGCATACGTTAGTTTTCTATTTGCATCAGATGCACAAACTGAAAACAAATATTAATATCTGCATCAACTGCCTCAACTACTAACAGAACAGAAAGTTTGTAGACTTGGATAATACTGAGATATTAGCTAAAAAAAGGTCACACCATCTTTGAGTAATTTCCCCTTTTTCGAAATTGCATATGACACCAAGTTAAAACTTCTGTATGACACACAGCACACAAACCACCCTTAAACAAACGGCACCCACCTACGTTCCCGTTGCATCAAAGGTTCCCTGGCATAACATCTTTTTGAATCCACTTTCATATTTGTTATTCACTATGCTCAGTAATTAAAAAATTTAGGAATAAAAGACAGCTTATGTCAAGTTTGTAGGCCTGTATCCATGTTTTCAACTACTGGGATGCTAACAGCATCCATCTACTTTCCAGTCGCACAAGCGACGCAGTTCAGCCTGTATTACTAATAACTGCAAGGGTATTCAGCCTGCTTCCTATGCAAAGTTAGACTAAGTCAGGTCAAAAAGAAAACCCATTAGGATTGTTTTTAACCTTTTTTTTTTCTCCTCTGAAAACCCATATTTCTGTTCCAAAAACAAACACACTTAGAAAGCTCCCTGTACTCTGCTCTGGCTCAGCTGGCAAAACCGGTGTGGCATGCTGCTCCATAAGCTGAAAGCTATTGATTTTGGAAGAGACTAGAAAGTGGGAAAGGGGGCAAATGCAGAACTCCACCATGGTTCAGTAGAGCTGCAAAGAGGAGCGGGGAATCTCTCCGTCTACAGAGCAGTCTGCAGCCATCTGCATCACTTTCGTCAAGGTAATTCTCCTGTTATATCCATCCTTCTAGTTCATATTTTTCACAGACAGAAAAGGGGAGAGAGGAAAGAAGGTGGCAGGCAGGACAAATACTGACAACTGAGAAAGAAATGGGGAAAAAAAGGAATATACATAGCCAGGTCCAAAGCAAGGTAGATTTGTCAACTCTTGCCTGAAAATAAAGATCAGGAAAAACAGTAAAAAATAAATAAAAAAATAAAGAGGTGCATAGCCCCAAGCATGAACACACAACTTTTTACAGTGGTCTAATGCCACCTCAAGGCTCTTAGACAGAAAAGAAAAACTAGAATTAAAAAACAACAATAAAAAAGGAAGACAACAACTGATTTTCCTTGTATTTATTTTATTTTTAAAAAACAATAGAGAAGACCAATCTGTAAAGCTTCCTTTATGAATTACAGAACGGGGCGGGGAGAAGAAAGAAAAATCACAGAGTAATTGAGGCTGGAAGGGACCTCCTGAAGTCGTACAGTTTGGCCACTTGGACCGTGTGGCAGCTCAAACAAGCTGAGGCTGAGCGGGGCTTGAGCATTTTGGGCATCTCTATCAATGAATATTCCACCTCTATTCAGCCCTTGTTCCTCCTCCTGAGGAGACGAAGACTGCAGAAGGCAGTTCTTTCTCCATCAACCAAGATGACAACCTCAACAATAAGCTTATACTTGATGTCTGTTAGACAACAAAACAGGTGAATTAAATTACAGTGTTGATTGACTACACTTTTTATTTCTCCCATTTACCATGTCTATACTAGTAAATAGCATGCTAAATTGTTACCAAAACTATGCAGCAAAAGTAAGTAAGAAAAACTCAATTATGGTGGCCAGGAGAACAAGTCTACTCCCAGGAGATGTTTGGGACTAACTTTAGTCTGAAACTGACATTGATCCAAAATCTCCCTGAATTATCAGGGTTAGCCACCCATTAAAGTTACACTACTTCATTTTGGATCTCGTTGCAAAACTAAGTCACAGCATTGCACTATATTCCATAGGAAATGTTCCAGTTTAGGAAAAAGAGGGATGTGAGGGGAAAAAAAAAAAAAAAAAAAAAACACATGACACTATCTTCACTATCATGTATTATTTACATTAGCTAACACACTCTGGCTGGCCTATGTGGGCTTCTATGTGTGTGCACATGTGCATATTTTTTTTTTAGATAGATAGAACATCACATGAGTTTACATACTTTTCATTATGTAGAATTGTAACTTGGATTGGAAAAGATTTGTTAGAAAAAATGTTTTAGTTCTCGTATGGTGCTTGGGGCCATCTAGTGGTCAAGAGTTGAAAGAATAACAAAATTACACTGTTCCGTTTATGTTCATTATATGTCAATGCTACACCACAGCAGTAACTAAGAGGCCTTTTCTATAAAATACTCAGGCACATTTAGCTCCTTTCAGCCAACACCTGGCGCCTTTCACAGACTTTGTCAAGATCAGACAACCCAAAGCTGACTCCTAATCAGGGGCTACTCCAAGAACCAGCATCATGAGGTCAAGAAACCCTTGAGTAACAACATGCCCCACATTGCCCATTCCCCCCACACTCTCCCACTACTAGTAGGAGGACCTAACAAGAAACACAAGAAACAAGAACCTTTTGCAGAGGTTTTCAGGTTTTGCATTTCCCTTTCTGCCAGAAAAAAAAAAAAAAAAAAAACCTGCTGCTGGCCCCTTGAGATCCTTTTGCAACACTGCAGTAGCACGACTATAGTATCAAAAGATCTATGTATAGTACAATAAAATACACTGAAAATTCGTTTGAGACTTCCACTTTGACGCAGAACTGCAAGTTAAGCACCTCTGCTACTGCCTGTAGTGCTACTGCTGAGGTGTGCTAAAGGGGACTCTTCAATAACTGCCATTTCCATCAAGCTTGTGGAGCATTTCCCCACTGTCAGGCTACCCAAGAGCCTTCTTTCAGACACAAGGAAATACCAGTGGCTCCAAAATAAAGTCTTGGGGTTATTACCATTACGTGATGGCAACCTGAGTACGTTTCCAGACTTCGGAGAGCTCTACACAGCTCTGTGCGAGCAGAGCTTGGTCTGCACCAGGTGAACGGGGAGAGCTCCCTGCTGGGTTTGCACTTTGTTTTATTAATCTCCTCTGAAACTTCAAGTTTCATCATTTCCATGCATTCTGCATAGCACCATCATCTGCAGGCCACAATAAACTGGGAATTAAAATCTATATTTAATCATTACTGTTATTTTACTTCTGTTCAGTATGAAATCTGGCTTTTTTACAACCATCTTAGATTTAAGTTTCTGAACACACTCTAACATCTCTCTGAACACACTCTAACATCTCTAGGCACCCTGCTGTCACCAACAAGGTATCAGAGCACTCAACCAGGGTTCAGGCAGAAGCGAGTGTGACTGGGGCTTAGCAGGGAGAGAGCGGAGCTGAGAAACAAGCGGCTCAGGAAGCCTGGGGCCCCACATAGCCCAGAGACAGCAGAGCCTGCGGCTCGAAGGAAGAAAGCTTTAATTTAGCTTACAATTCTGCAGCACCTCTTAGATTGGTCTCCTGCCAAGAGGATACTGGGCCAGGCCTCCGCTCCCCTTCTAGCACTGCAGCAGCCAACACCAGATAGTCAAAACGAGCAGGCACAAACCAGGTGCTGCAGAACGCGCGGCTGTGCAGCACCTCCAGCGCCCGCTCCGAGCCCCAGCGTCCGGGAGCTGCAGCAGTGCCGCTTCCAGAGCGTGAGCTGCACCTATGGACACCCCTCCTGCGCTGGGGACCTGCAGCCGCTTCTAAAATCCCAACACAGACCGAGTTTCAGAAAACTGGTAATTAAAGAGATCTCCTTCCTGACAAGCGGCAGAGCTGCACTTTGAAGACTCTCATGCCTGTGTCCATGTAAAGGGGAAGTGGGAACTGACTTTTCCAAAGGTCCTTTCCTTGACATTTTTTTTTGCATGCGGCATGCAAAAAAAAAAAAAAAAAAAAACCTGCAGCCCTGAGGAGGAGTGAACTTCAGAAACGCTATCACCTGGCTGATTTCAACATTGCACAGTATCGCCATTTAGAACAGCAATTTCTAAATCAGATTTTATATGCCTATCCTTACAGAGTTAAAAAAAAAAAGGTATAAATATTATAAGCGCTTTACATGTTTTAACAAGCACTCAGTTTGAAGCATTATCAGAATTGAATCATGGTGTCAACTTGCTTTAGTGTCTTTACATGCTGATATAGCAGCGCAATACTCAGAACAGTTCCTCCTCAAAACTAGTTTTCATTTCACTTACAATTTGGTAGCCTTTCAAGGAACTGAAAGGTCTGCAACAAACAATCTTATTTCCATATCCTAGCACATCTTAACAAGCTCAGTATGCCTTTACCATATACAATATCATGTAACAGCATAGTTATAATGACTCACATGGGATAAACTTAGTAAACGGCTTTTGTATGGCTTCCTTATGGAATCATATCCATCCAAATGTATTTAAACAATGACTCCATGTTTTAAGTGGAATCTTAATATAAATAGCACAGGAATATAATATGGATGTGTATAGTATAGATAGCATGTTATGATAATGGAAATTATATTAGTGAGTGTATAAACAACAATCTGTTTTAATTACATGGCTTTCAGCTTTCCTCTACAGTTGTGCGGTGTTCGTAACTAAATTTCTTCTAGTTTGTTCAAACAGAAACATCACCTTCATGTGGGACTATTCATTAAAAATAAATAAATAAACAAATAAAATCCTGACTTGGGAAAGCAGATCAGAAAAGTACACAGGTTGATGGATAGCTTTGTCATTAGGGTATTTAAGCCTGTATTTATATAGCTTTGTCCTCCAGTTAAGTTCATACATTAACTTAAATTAGTATCAATGAAACACCACTAAATAATAGAGAAAAGCCTTGTCCTTAGAAAGGAAAGTGCAGTGTGACTCTTTTCTGCAACAAAATTATTCTTGTGAAGATGACCATTATGCAAGCAAGAGGAGCCGCTGCACTGGCACGAGCTGAGGTTTGTCACTGCCAGTGACACCAGAGTGAGCTACGAAGCTTTCACGGACA